TTACGTGGATAGCAGCAGTCAAAAAGAGCTTGTGCAGGAAACTCGCCCTTACGATAACCATCAGATCTCGTCAGACTTACTGTCATAAGAACAGCATGGCAAAGACCTGCCCCCATGATTCAATTACTTCCCACTGGGTCCTTCCCACAACACATGGGAATTCAAGACGAGATTTGGGTGGGGACACAGCCAAACCATATCATTCCATCCCTGGCCCCTCCCATATCTCAAAGCCCTCACATTTCAAAACCAATCATACCTTCCCAACAGTCCTCCACAGTCTTATCTCATTTCAGCATTAGCTCAAAAGTCCACAATCCAAAGTCTCATGCGAGACAAGGCAATCCCTTCCACCTGTGAGCCTGTAAAATCAAAAGCAAGTTAGTTACTTTCTAGATATAATGGGGGTACAGGCATTCGATAAATACAGCCATTCCAAATGTGAGACATGGGCCAAAACAAATGGGCTACAGGCCCCATGCAAGTCCAAAATCCAGCAGGGTGGCAAATCTTAAAGCTCCAAAATGATCTCCTTTAACTCCATATCTCACATCCTGGTCACACTGATGCAGAAGGCGGGTTCCCATGGTCTTGGGCAGCTCCACCCCTGTGGCTTTGCAGAGTATAGCCTCCCTCCTGGCTGCTTTCATGGGCTGGTGTTGAGTGTCTGTGGCTTTTCCAGGTGCATAGTGTAAGTTGTTAGTGGATCTACCATTCTAGGGTAGGCCCTCTTCTCACAGCTCCACTAGGTGGTGTCCCAGTAAGGACTGTGTGTGGGGGCTCTGACCCCACATTTCCCTTCCCCACTGCCCTAGCAGTCCTCACTGCCCATGAGCGCCCCGTCCCTGAAGTAAACTTTTGCCTGGGCATCCAGGTATTTCCATACATCTTCTGAAATCTAGGCGGAGGTTCCCAAACCTCAATTCTTGACTTCTGTGCACCCACAGGCTCAACACCACACAGAAGCTGCCAAGACTTGGGGCTTCCACCCTCTGAAGCAACAGCCCAAGCTTTACCTTGGCCCCTTTTAGTCATGACTGGAGTGGCTGGGACACAGGGCACCAAGTCCCTAGACTGCACACAGCACAGTGACCCTAGGCATGAACCACAAAACCATTTTCTCATAGGCCTTCAGGCCTGTGATGGGAGGGGCTGCCATGAAGACCTCTGACATGCCCTGGAGACATTTTCCCCATCGTCTTGGGGATTGACATTCAGCTCTTTGTTACTTATGCAAATTGCTGCATTCAGCTTCAATTTCCCCTCAGAAAATGTGTTTTTCTTTTCTATCACATTGTCATGCTGCAAACTTTCCAAACTTTTATGCTCTGCTACCCTTATAAAACTGAATGCCTCTAACAGCATCCAAGTCACCTCTTGAATGCTTTGCTGCTTAGAAATTTCTTCTGCCAGATACCCTCAATCATCTCTCTCAAGTTCAAAGTTCCACAAATGTCTAGGGCAGAGGCAAAATGTCACCAGTCTCTTTGCTAAAACATAACAAGAGTCACCTTTGCTTCAGTTCCCAACAAGTTCCTCATCTCCATCTGAGACCACCTCAGCCTGGACCTTACTGTCCCTATTTCTATCAGGCTTTTGGTCAAAGCCATTCAACAAGTCTCAAGGAAGTTCCAAACTTTCCCATATTTTCCTGTCTTCTTCTGAGACCTTCAAACTGTTCGAACCTCTGTCTGTTACCCAGTTCCAAAGCTGCTTCCACGTTTTCAGGTATCTTTTCAGTAACATACCACTGCTAGCACCAATTTACTATATTAGTCTGTTTTCACGCTGCTGATAAAGACATACCTGAGACTGGGCAATTTACAAAAGAAAGAGGTTTAATTGGACTTAAGTTCCATGTGGCTAAATATCTTACGTGAATGGTAGCAGGCAAAAAGAGCTTTTGCAGGAAAACACCCCCTTACAATAACCATCAGATCTCATGAGACTTACTCACTTTCACGAGAACAGCAAGGGAAAGACTTGCCCCCATAATTCAATTACCTCCCACTGGGTCCTTCCCACAACATGTGGGAATTCAAGATGACATTTGGGTAGGGACACAGCCAAACCACATCAATGCCTCTATAAATCCACCAGGAACACTTCTAGAAAATGTTGAACACCTCCAAGGCCCCACAAAACCCTCCTCTACCCACATCTTCATGGCAAGGAGCTACCATGGATCCCCCTCCGAGTGTGCCCAGACCAGTTACAGGACTGGCTACAATGGAAGGCAACTGAGAGACACAGAGCAAGAGCTGCCCTCCCACCAAAGCCACACGCCACAGAAAGAACTCATTCTTCATAAGGAAACTGAAGCTAGTGGAAAAGGGACAGACGGTAGCTGCCAAAAACCTGGCTGAAGTCCACAACATCCCATCCCCTCATCTCAGACTCACACGGGTGCTCGCTACACCATCACACTGTTTATTTTTCAGAGCACTCCACACTTACTAAGATTCACTCGTTTATTTGTTTGTCTCTCCCTTCCAGAATAAGAATTCCATGAGGCCAGGGGCTTTGTGTGTCTGTCTATTCACCGCAGAATCTCAGAGATTCTTCTCCAGTAGACACTGAATACGTATCTGTTGAATGAATGAATGAATGTGCCCCAGATGTTTCTCATTTAAGTGAAAATTATCAAATTGACCATATTTTTATAAGTTTAGTTAAAGATGTGACCATCTTACTTCATTACATCTCCATTAAGACAGTATGGTATTTCAGTTACAGGTATATGACTGGGAGTTCAATTCTTCTCTGTGATAAGCACAAATGACTCAGGCTACCATTCAATATTCATTTTACAGATATATGAAGCTTGTCTACTCACATTCAAAGGTTTTCGTTAATTCGTCTTTTATCTAAATCAGTCAAGTCTTTTCTCATAAATGAGAAATATTAAATAAGTGGCAGCTCTCAAGAAATAAAAAAGTGACCAGCAGAAATAATCTGCAACTTCTGTGAATAAGCTTTTTCTCAGTGTCTAAAATAACAAACACCATTTATGGACTAGGTGTCATGAGTTTTAGAAATTGGTACCCAGTCCACTGTTACATGTACCATTATCCCAATGGCAAAGACACACAGAAAGCCAAGGCTCAGAGGCAGTAAGTCATAGGTTCAAGGCCTCTTGCTGATGACAAAACTGGAATCCAAACCCACGTTGGGCTTACATTTACACATACATGTATACAAATGTACGTATATACAGCTTAGATTCAACAAAATATAGTAATTTAGTGATGGAACAAATTATTTCTTTTTTTTTTTTTTTTTTTTGAGACAGAGTCTCGCTCTGTCGCCCAGGCTGGAGTGCAGTGGCCGGATCTCAGCTCACTGCAAGCTCCGCCTCCTGGGTTTATGCCATTCTCCTGCCTCAGCCTCCCGAGTAGCTGGGACTGCAGGCGCCCGCCACCTCGCCCGGCTAGTTTTTTGTATTTTTTTAGTAGAGACGGGGTTTCACGGGGTTAGCCAGGATGGTCTCGATCTCCTGACCTCGTGATCCGCCCGTCTCGGCCTCCCAAAGTGCTGGGATTACAGGCTTGAGCCACCGCGCCCGGCCGGAACAAATTATTTCTAATAAATGTTATAAAATATAAACGCCTCTCTGAATCCTTCAGAAAATTAATTTTGCCATGAAGTACAAAAAGGAAAGAGATAAAACTTAAGTATGAACAAAGTTATAGTAGACAGGAGACTGCAAACATTTGGTAATATGCACTGTCTTTTTTGGGGGGGGGGAGGGTACCAAATTTCTTTATTTGAAGGAATGGTACAAATCAAAGAATTTAAGTGGATGTTTTGGTACAACTTATAGAAAAGGTAAAGGAAACCCCAACATGCATGCACTGCCTTGGTGACCAGGGAAGTCACCCCATGGCTACGGGGAAATTAGCCTGAGGCTTAGCTTTCATTATCACTGTCTCCTAGGGTGTGCTTGTCAAAGAGATACTCTGCCAAGTCGGATTCGGGTGCTCCCATCTTGTGCAAGTTGGTCACATGGTCACCCAATTCTTTGATGGCTTTCACCTGCTCATTCAGGTAAAGTGTCTCAATGAAGTCACACAAATGGGGGTCATTTTTGTCAGTGGCCAGTTTGTGCAGTTCCAGTAGTGACCGATTCACATTTTTTTCCAAATGTAAAGCACACTCCATCGCATTCAGCCCGCTCTCCCAGTCGTCATAGTCTGGTTTCTTGATATCCTGAAGGAAGATTCGGCCACCTCCTTGGTTCTGCAGCTTCATCAGTTTCTCAGCATGTTCCCTTTCCTCATGAGATTGGTGAAGAAAGTATTTGGCAAAGTTCTTCAAAGCCACATCATCGTGGTCAAAGTAGTAAGACATGGACAGGTAAACGTAGGAAGCCTAGAGTTCCAGGTTGATGTGGCGGTTGACGGCGGTCTCTGAGTCCTGGTGGTAGTTTTGGCGCACCTGCGAGGTGGACGCAGTCGTCATGGCGGAGGCTAAGGACAGGAAGCGGTGCTGGAGTGGCGGCGGGGGCCTTGGGGCGGTCGGAGGGCGCAGTGAAGAGGTGACGGAGGGCTGGCTATGGGTGGCCAGCAGGGATGGGGGACAAGCGCCGGGTTCCATCCAAGCACTGTTGAAGCAGGAAACCCTGACCACACTCAGCGAAGAACGGCTGCACTGTCTTTAAAAATCATTTCTCCTTATTGAGGCATTGAGCCATATTGTTTATGATGTGAAGAGCTGTTGGCATCTTTCCTGCCCATAACCATGACCATCACTTACTCATCTTTTTATGCATCCAGGTGCATGAAAAGGCAGTAAGTACATTTTTTAAGAAAATAGCATCAAAAGCAGATTTTAAATCTACCTGTTTTTCTTCTGTTTGTTTTCTCCAACAGTTAAGGAAAGTAATGGTAATTTCTCATTCCAAACCAAAGACAATTATGCTCCTTTCTAAGGACACAGCTGTAAGTCTCTACAAGATCGGGGAAGACTAGGACATTTCGGAAAAGCACTCTCAGTAAAGTTTATGCTTGAATGGGCGGCTGGAAATGCATCGATGTTCAGGGTCTCTTTTCACGGCCTCTAAACGTGCTCGCGTCATATGCCCACACTGTGTCTATCCCCTCCCCAGTGACATGGTCTGGAGTCCAGTGTGGGAAGGGAAACCGGCAAGCAATGACTCGTGCATCATTGGCAAGTTCAAGTTCAAGTTTCTTCTCCAACTGCAGCATCTGTGGGGAGTAACAGCTATTATTTTAGTGAGCAGTGAGTCAGAGGAAATGATCCCAAAATTTCTTCTGTACTTAAGAGTCCCTGAAAATACCTGAGCAAAAATTACTACTTGTTAAAAAGAGCACTCTGGGACACAAACACATGAACAAACAATCCACTAAAATACAGAAGATACACTGACAGCAGTTGTAAGAACATCTTCTAGTATTAATTATAAAATGTGCCATTTTTAGCAGATGTCTATCATAGATTTATAGTTTTCTCAATAAAATCAAGATATGGCAGCAATTATAAGAAGCAGCAGTTTTAAATAATTTAGTTCAACACTTCAATATACCTTGTCTCCTACATTTAAGACATTATTTTTCCACAATTTTAAAGAGATGGGGGTCTTGCTATGTTGTCCAGGCTGGTCTCAAACTCCTGGGCTCAAGCAATCCGCCCACCTCAGCCTCCCAAAGTGCTGGGATTACAGGCATAAGCCACTGCGCCTACATTTTTCCACATTTTTAACATCTCTGAAATCAGGACACATCACACAACACTGTCTTAGAATTATAATTAGCAATTTTTTTTGTTTCTCAATAGCAATGGTGCATCCTAAAATCAAGATCTACAGTCAATGAAATGTAGTATAGTTAGACCATGAAAAAACACACACTATTCTACCAACTGGAAATACCATGAAATGTTTCATAATTTTTTAAAATGTACCCATAATGTACTAATAATGGATTTCTTAAGAGTTAGCCTAACTTATACCACTGTTGTACCATTTTGTTGTCAATCTACCAACAAAGAAAAGAGTTTTTACTATTCGCTAAAAGTACTGATATTTTAATTACATCAACAAATTAACAACTACTTAAAAATTTATCTGCAGGTCCTAAAAATTTATTACCACCTTCACATCCTAAAAATACTTTTTTTCTACTTTCTTCTTTTAACTTGTTATTTTGGGATAATTTCAAACTTCCAGAAAAGTTGCAATAACAGAACAAAGAAGAACAAAGAACTCCTGTATACCTATACCCAGGTTCAATAACTTTTTTTTTTTTTTTTTTTTGAGACAAGGTCTATCACCCAGGCCGGACTGCATTGGTGCGATCTTGGCTCAATGCAACCTCTGCCTCCTGGACTCAAACCATCCTCCCACCTCAACCTCCTAATTTTGTAGAGATGGGGTTTTGCCATGTTGCCTGGGCTGGTCCTCAACTCATGAGCTCAAGCCATCTGCCCGCCTCAGCCTGTCCAAGTGTTGGGACTACAGGCGTGAGCCACTGCACCTGGCCTATGGGTTTACCAATTTTCAACATTTTGTCACATTTGTTCTCTTCCTCTCTCTTTGAACATTTTTTTTCCTAAACCATTAGAGAAAAGGTTGCATACAATATGCTCCTTTACTCCCTTAATACTTCAGTGTGTATTTTCTAAGAAAAATATTTTCATACATAATCCCAGCACAGTTATCTTCAGGAAATTTAACATTGTATTCCAATATAGTAATTCCAAGTAACACTGCAATTCTGTCATTGTCCCAGTAATGTTCTGTATAACATTTCCCAAAGGTATGATCCTGTCCAGGATCACTTTTGCGCTTAGCCATAGCATTCCTTTGGTCTCCTTAGAGGGAAAACAGCTCCTCAGTCTTCCTTCGGTTTCTGTGACAATAACATTCTTCAGTTATTGGACCGAGCGGCCCTGGCGGTGGGTCCTCTGATGTATGCTCATGAGCAGTGCAGTGTGTGGTCTTTGGCAACACCCCACCTGCGAGGCTGTGAACTTAGCAGGGCTCCAGACACCCAGGAGGCCCTTCTGCTCTTGATGATGGCATCAGTCACACAGTCAAGGTGGAATCCGGTGTCTCCACTGTGCAGTTGCTATTTTTCCTTTTATAATGAGTAGTTTGTGAGGAGATGCTTCGGGTTGATGTGAATCCTGTTACTCATCAGACAGTCCCCACACTTGGAGTAGCACTCACGGACAATTCTGGCCTGAATCAAATAGCAATCACGGACAATTCTGGCCTGAATCAAATAGCAATCACGGACAATTCTGGCCTGAATCAATCTGCTAATTCTGTCCTTTCTTCTAGACGTACAGTTGGCACTCTACCATAAGGCAGGGCTTTCCCCTCACCTGCTCTGCCTCTCTCTCTTCTTGTCTACCAATCTGCTGTAAGGACAAACACCTATATTCTTATTTCATTTGATAGGTTATAATCCATTACTGTCCTTGTGTATTCGAATGCTCGAATTGTCCTAATTTGGCCACTGGGAGGCTCTTGCCGCTGGCTTCTCTGTCCTTTGGACATGCTGTTATCAAATACTGTGAGCACTTCCTTACATTCTGGCTCAATAAAATGTTCCTGGCTTTTGTATCTTCCTTCCACAGCCCTGATTCAGCCTTTTCCTCAAAGATTCCTGATTCCTCTTAGTAAGAAGTGATATTTAGAAAACAAGATCTAAGCAAAAATTACTCCTCTAAAAAAAACAGATTAAATCAAGACCAAATTGATAGGGCTTCTATGATGGTTTTAGTCCTGACCTAAATCTTATACAAGTGCTTAGAAAAACTCTTCTACATGACCTATGGCTGGAATGAGCCAAATTCTAATTGTTCATCAGAATCAATGCCAAGATAACACAGAATAAATTCCATTAAGGATGGAGGAATTTCTATTCTTTCAATAGCCAGTATAGGATTTAAAAAAAAAAAAAAAAAGTTGTGTTCCTTGAGGGAAAAATTAAACAAGCAAAGAATGAAACAATATGTGTTTTTCCAAAATATCAGAGATTTCTTATGGTAATTTTGTTCATAAAAAAGATAATTGTAAACTTATTCATGATGCTATTATTCTTTTCTCTTTTATAGTTTCTTTTATTTCCAAATGATTGTCATATGCTAAGTCAAGATAAACCTAAAAATGAAAGGAGCTATTTCCATCATAAGAAATTAACTGACTAAATTACACATAAATATGCAACGAATCTGGTGCTTGATATCATACACAAAGAGAAGCCGTGATGTGTCATGTCTGCCTAATGGAATTCAAAATTATTCATACAATTATAGGTTTCAAAGTGACATGAACTCATCCTATTCTAATTATGTCTACAAAATTTTAAACATAGTTCTCAAAGGTATAAGATAACCTAGCCCTGCCATACACACACACCCCGCCCCCCAGGAACCCCGGTTTCACTGGACCACCAGGGTAACTCACTCCTGGCACTTCCTCCTCCCCAAGCTCCCCTCTCCGAGTCCTACTGGTTGCCCCTCATTTCCCAGACCTCTAATGCCAGGGTCCAGAGCTCAGGTCTTCAACGGCTCATCCTCGTGCTCCCCAGGGAATCTCAGCTACTCCCAGGCTTCACGTGTGCTGATACCCAACAAACGTACATCTCCAGCCTGTTCTCTGGCCCGAACCCCAGACTCCTTCTCACCCACCACTGCCAGCCTGATGTCATGCACACCCAAACATCACATGCACATGCTGACTTTCCTAGCCAGCTCCGCTTGCACCTTCCCCAGCATAGTTCAAGGCAACCCCAAGCATGTGGCAGGATGGCCCAGTGGTCTAAGGTGCTAGACACAAGCTTCCACTTCCCAAGGCAACTCCAAACTTCCAGTAACTTGGGCCAACACCCTGGGGCTACCTGTGACCCCGCCTTTGCCTCTCTCCCCATGTTAGATCTGCCAGCTAGTCCTGTGGATTCTACCTTCACAATGCACACAGAATTTGATGCTTCTCACCAGTTACTCCATGGCCTGGACATCTGCAAGAGTTTATAACCTGTCTCCCAGCTTGTACCCACCCCTGCCTCCACATGGCAGCCTGTGACCCTTCTCCAGCCCAGCCAGCCCTGCATGCATTCCTCTCTGCTCACTCAAGGCTTCTGTCCTTCCAAGGGCTGGTGTCCTTCCCATCCTGCTTCCTCTCTGACCTCCCCACGCACACTCATGCCATACCTGCCTGCTTGCCGCACTGCCCCCGACCCTGTCCAAGGCGCTTTTCCCTGCAAGCCCCCTCCCTAACCTCAAAGGTCACCTTTGCAGGGATCCTATCCCTGCCCCACCCCACCCTTGCTTTGCTTTGCTCCACAGCACTTTTGCTTCTGCTGTATGATGCATCTTCTATAGGCGTCTCATGTAATATCTGCTCTCCCCACTAGCATATGAGCACCTGGGGCAGGCGTGTTTTCTCTCGTACTCACTGAAATATTCCAAGTGATTAGAACAGGGCTTGCTATAGTGGCCACGCTTGTCAAATGAACGAAGGAAGGAAGAAAAAGTTATTCAGCTATGAGTTATTTTTCTTTATTAGAACATAATGATAATATTTTTGTTCATCAATTCATAACAGCCAAGCATGGTGGCTCATGCCTGTAATCCCAACACTTTGGGAGTCTGCAGCAGGAGGAATGCTTGAGCCCAGGAGTTCGAGACCAGCCTGGGCAACATAGTGAGACTCCGTCCCTACAAAAACTAAAACAATTAGCCGGACATGGTGACACACGCCTGTATTCCCAGTGACTTGGCAGGCTGAGGCAGGTGATCGCTTGAGTCCAGGAGGCTGGGGCTGCAGTGAGCCAAGATCACACATGACTGCACTACAGCCTGGGCAACAGAGTGAGACTCTGTCTCAAAAAAAAAAAAGAAAAAAAATTCAGAACAGAATTTGTAACTAAAATTAAATTAGTCATTCTTTGAAGTTATGAAAGTAGATAGCTTTCTGGGAAAAGTATAAATACTGGGTATACTCAGACCACATTCATTCATTCAACGACCGTTTACCAAGCAATGCCTGTGCCAGTGCTGCAGTGCTGGAGGCCTGGGCCAGCTGGAAGAGGACAGGCCTGCTCCCTACCCCCGAGCTGATGGTGCAGTGCACACAGCAAGCACTGTCGAAGCCTTCAGACAAAGAAATGCACAATAACCCATCTAAGGACAGGGCAACAAGATACTATGTGAGTGCAAAGCAGGCCACTGGAGCTCGCCTCATTGGCATCAAGGACTGCCTTGCAGAGGCCGGGCACAGTGGCTCAAGCCTGTAATCCCAGTACTTTGGGAGGCCGAGGCGGGCAGATCATGAGGTCAGGAGATCGAGACCATCCTGGCTAACATGGTGAAACCCTGTCTCTACTAAAAAAATACAAAAAATTAGCTGGGCACGGTGGCAGGTGCCTGTAGTCCCAGCTACTCGAGAGGCGGAGGCAGGAGAATGGCGTGAACCTGGGAGGCAGAGCTTGCAGTGAGCTGAGATGCGCCACTGCACTCAAGCCTAGGCGACAGAGTGAGACTCTGCTGTCTCGAAAAAAAAAAAAAAAATTGCCTTGCAGAGGAAAAGACAGCTGGCCCATAAGTTGTCAGTGCTATTCACCAACGAAGTCCAGAGCCAGGGAGACCACAGTCAGAGGGAAGGACACAGCCCCAGGCTCTGGGAAGAGCAGCAATGGTGAGGTCCAAGGGGCCAAGAGAAGGACGGAGGACTGGTACAGAGAGCTGAGGGCAGCATGGCCCAGAGGAAGCTGGAAGGGAGCAAGGGCCACTGCACGCCAGCCTCAGGGCCACAGTGTTTGGACCTTATCCCTAAAAACAGCAAGAAGTCACAGAAGGGTTTTCACGAGAACAAGATTGGTCTGCTCTGCACTTTGAAAAGATGCTCTTGGTGCATAAGCTCATGTTAAACGTGGATGTTTACAACCCCAGGACTGGCTTGACCAGATCCAAATGGGATTCCTGCTCCTTTTCAGTTACATACATACTTGTGTGGAACTGCTACAGCACCTCTGATTTTGAGCTACAACTGCACAGAGCTGTTAGGGATCATCAGTCTGGTATCAGAAACAGGGGTGAGGGTTTACAGCCCCAGGGATTCCTGGCTCTGGACCTCCCCAAGGCTCCCCTGGCTCACTGAGTATCTATCTGGGCATCAGCTGCCATGGGAACATCTCATGGCACGCTGGCTTTGTGGAGTCACCCAGCCGCAGCTGGCCATGGTTCACAGCACACGCCCCGCCCCCTCATGGCCTCTGCTGAGACACAGCTTAATGAAGGTTGAAAGTGGGGCCCTCCACACACAACACTCCGCCTTCCAAACCAACAGAAGTCATCCTGGCCTCCGCACCCCTGACCGACCCACCGGCATGGAGACGGCGAGTTGGCCAGATCTCTGTTATGACAGGGAACGTGGACACTTTGTGTCTTTCAGCTGCTCCCCATTTTCCTTGGGAATAGTGAAATGCTACATGTTCCTTATTTCAGATTTCTCTACATACAGAAGAATGGACATTAATCACAAAAGTATTCATAAATAATAAGACTCTTATTTCCCCTGACTGAACAGCTCCAAAAAGTGAGTCAGTCTACTTCAAACATGGTAAGAAGCACCTGGAGTTGGCTCCACAGGTCCTGGAGTGACGATGACTACCAAAGGCCACTGCTGCCCCCCGCTGGGACAAGTAACCCTGGTTTCATCATCCTGCCTCTCCACACAGCACGGAATTGCCAGTAAATGCTAACATTCTATCTATAAAGCACGGATTCAAATTAAAGTTACTTGTCTCCAAAAAGCGAACACATTCCATTTTAGAACTAAAGCCCAAACATCACAGGTAATAAATCACCATCAAAATTACATATCAATCTATGATCCCAATCAGTTTTCTTAAAAATGACCAGGGAGTGTGCCCTTCTACCTCATTTCACTTCTATAAGAAAAGGCTGGATATCAAAGTTTGGTCTTAATTTTAGGCATAATGAGAATTATAAATGTACAGGATACTGTCACTTTCAAGAATATTTTACAAGACTGGGCACAACGGCTCACACCTGTAATCCTAGTACTTTGGGAGGCCGAGGCAGGCAGATCACTTGAGGTCAGGAATTCAAGACCAGCCTGGCCAACATGGCAAAACCCCACCTCTACTAAAAATAAAAAAATTAGCTGGGCATGGTGGCAAGTGCCTGTAGTCCCAGCTGCTCAGCAGGCTGATGCAGAATTGCTTGAACCAGGGAGGTAGAGGTTGCAGTGAGCCGAGATCATGCCACTGCACTCCAGCCTGGGCAACAGAGCAAGACCCTGGCTCAAAAAAAAAGAGTATTTTACAAAAGCATTTCTAAATTATATTTTAAAATTAAAGTATATGGCATTATACTGAAGGTCTTAGTAGTAGAAATACATTTCTCAAGCACTAAAATGTCTTATACAAAAATGCAGGTATTAATAAAAAAACAAAAAAAAGTAAATTGTCTTTTTAAAAACTTAAAACCCTATCAGCTATATTGCAGCATTTTAGCAAACATCCAATTCTGCCAATTTTATGATGGCTACAATGACAGACTGAAAAGTGAAAAGGGATTTCCTTCCATGGTCTGCGCACCAGCAATACAGTAAAAGCTTCCCACCATGACCATCTTTCCAAAGGCTAAGGAGGGCCATTTTCAGTGCAGTACTGTGGCATTTTCACTTCTGAAAGTACATAATCAAAGTTCAATATGCCATTCTTTAGCAAATCAGTAAACTGAGGTAAACTGAAACTACTCAATGCTCATCTACCCAGAAAATTATCTTCCTGCCAAATGGGAGGAATGATCAATTCAGAGGGAACATCCCATTAACTTTCCAGAGCGACTTCAGCCGAGTGGAAGTGAGTGGCTGTGAAAACTGCCAACTACATTAGACACGGGGACCTCAGAAAGCAGCTTCCAAACTGGAATGTTTAAGGCTTAGTTAAATCATTGAGAATTTCATCTGAAGCCAAAGTTTAAAAGTATGACTGAATCTTTCCTGATTAAACTTCTAAGACTGAATTATTTTATTAAATCAATGAACTGAAATCCAGTGTTCCCTAAAATCTCTGGGAGGCCATCACCATCACACGGGTGAGTGGTGGTGTTGCGGCTGGAAGGGCCTTCAACATCATCTAACCCCAAAGAGAGAGCAGAAAAGTGCGTACTCACCATCTGAGGCACACCGAAAATAACAACGTTCGAGTACTGCGAAAAAGTAACCTGAACAAGGTGGGAAAACAATCGGTAGATTAAATGCAAAAAGCCAAATGTTAAGCTTAACTTGTTTCACAGAAATGGGTAGCAGTTTTCCGTTTTATCAAACGGTGGGTTTTGACAAATTCCTAAAAAGAGCGGCCCTCCTTAAGATTTCACAAGGAAAAGAATAATACATTCATGCTCTCATTCATTTTAATTCAATCCATTACAGTTTTCCAAACGCTTCCCTGTAAGTCATCCCATCTCATCCTCAGGGCGACTCCATGCAGGGCGCGCCCAAGTGGTCATGTGTCGGACAGCTAGTGACCACACTGTGACCCCACTGTGACCAGCTGGTGGCACCGGGGCCACGTGTTCCTGCACCAGTCCACTCTACACCAAACCAGCTTCACCAGAACGCGAGAGACTTCAGAACCATCTGGGGTTTTTTTTGTTGTTGTTGAACCATCCTTAAAATTTGAGTCTCCCTCCTCTTCTCTAAAATACTATGTGAAAAAAGTGCAATAAAATGGTCTTCAGTTGAAAAACCGGGGGGAAATGTGCTTTGCCAGTTAAAATTCTTATTGCCCAATAAAAGTCTTATTTACTCTATAGAGAGATCGTTTATGCACATATGGCATAAAAAAACAATGCAAGCAAAACTCAAGTGAATTTTTGTAAGCTACTGATGACAATATTACAATGGAAAATTCTTATTTAAGAAAAAGCATTTTATGGAACATTCCTAAAGCAAAATTACAGGGCATTTTTAGAGTTTTTAGAGTACAAATAAATTTGGAAGTATCTTATACTTTATGAGGATAAGAAATAACCATGACAGCATGATTCTCTAGCACCCATCTCTGTGTCTCTCTAAATATACGAATATGCATACACACACACACACAGGCACACAAATGGAAAAGTCTAATATTTATCAATAATAATTTATAGGATTTCCAAATGAGATGAAAAATCTCATTATTTTGTAAGAAACAGAAATTAGAACACACTAATTTAGTAAATAAATTCTTGGAATTCACAAGACCTATACATAAAAACTTTAAGCTTCTCTCTAAAGGAGACTATTTGTAAAATGTATCAATTTTACACATTTCATTATGCCAGAATATTCACATGGATTTTAATTATTTTTCTTTTAATACATTTTTTCAGTTCTCAGTCATACTAATTTTGAATAATAAACTTTCCCTTGGATTTCTCTAGGGCCATTCTCTGCCTTACATACCTTCCACAAATCCGAAATATAAAATTTGGCAGAACCATGCACACCTTCTCGCCAAGCGCGGTATCTGGAGTACCAAACTAGCCATGGGTTTAATTCATAACCAACTGCTGTGAACCCTTCCTTCGCAGCCGCTATGACCTGTGGAGAGAGGCAGGATTTATTCAAAATATGAAGAAAAAATGAACATATACGGTCAAACAATATGAATATCTCCTATCAATGGTTTAAACATCCAATCAAAAAGTGCCTCCTGTGACTAAGACATCATTTAAAAATGTGTCTCTAAAGTGATACAGCTTCGTGGACAAGGTAATAGTTAACCTATGTAACTTAGTTTTTTCTTGATTGGTTAAAGATTTCACCTCAAGTATCAGAATAGACATTCAGGTTCACTTTGAACACCTCCATAATTGATTCTAGGTCAGCCAACCCCCGGGGAGGTTGAACAAAACATTGCCAAAAATCCACTACATCTCTGGCTAGCACAGCAGCAGTGAAATGAATATGTTGGGGAGGATGATTTTGTGAACAAGTAATAATGTGCAATAAAAATAATCTGTCAATGAAAAATCTGCAATTAGTTACATATTTCCTTTGTAGTTAATGACTATTCACTCAAAACTGAAAACAGGTAAAATAAAATGAAATTAATCCGAATAAAGTCAACTGTGGAATCCCACCAGCCTCCGGAGAGTGGAAGGGATATGGGGCAGTCCTGGGTTCTCTCTGCCCGTCCTGTCCTGCCCCATTCTTTAAGGGAGCATCCCTTGACTCAGCTGTTCCACCTAAGATAGTTCCCAAGTAACTATAGTGCTACAAGAAAACATTTTCTCAGAAACCACAAAGATACCGTTCAAATACGTAAAGCATTCAAATATGGATTTTAAAACTTTCTCTTTGATTTCTTGATATGGTTTGCCTCTGTGTCCCCACCCAAATCTCATCTTGAATTCCCATGTGTTGTGGGAGGGACCTGGCAGGAGGTAACTGAATAATGGGGGCAGGTCTTTCCCATGCTATTCTCATGATAGTGAGTAAGTCTTACAAGATCTGGTTTTATAAGGGGGAGTTTCCCTGCACAAGCTCTCTCCTTGCTTGCCACCTTCCATGTAAGACACGACTTGCTCCTCCTTGCCTTTCACCTTCCACCATGATTGTGAGGCCTCCCCAGCCATGTTAAACTGTAAGTCCAATCAACCTCTTTCTTTTGTAAACTGCCCAGTCTCAGGTATGTCTTTATCAGCAGCGTGAAAACAGACCAATACTTTTTTTTTTTTTGAGATGGAGTCTCGCTCTGTCACCCAGGCTGGAGTGCAGTGGCATGATCTTGGCCCAGTGCAACCCCCACCTCCCGGGTTAAAGCGATTCTACTGCCTCAGCCTCCTTAGCAGCTGGGGTTACAGGCGTGTGCCACCACGCCCGGCTAATTTTTGTATTTTTAGTAGAGAAGGGGTTTCACCATGTTGGTCAGGCTGGTCTTGAACTCCTGACCTCGTGATCCGTCCACCTCAGCCTCCCAAAATGCTAGGATTACAGGCATGAGCCACTGCACCTGGCCACTAACACATTTCTTAGAAACAAATAGTGGCTCCCTGAGGGTGAGGGGAGGAGGGGAATAGAAAGTTATTATTTAATTGGGGCAGTGTTTCAGTTTTGCAAGATGGAAAGAGTTCTGGAGATGGGTGGTGGTGACGGTGGCACGGCAACGTGAATGTACTTCCCACCCTGAACCGTACACCTGCACATGGTTAAGATGGTAAACACTACGGTATGTGTATCTTAACACGATTTTAAAAGTAAAAAAAAAAATTAAATTAAAAATATCTTAACTTTCTAACCTCCTCCTGAATATTCTAGCTCAGAATCACAAAATCAGTCTCTATGTCTGTAGGAGCTGGTGAAAGGTGAGAGTCCTGCTGGCCTTCACACTAAATGCTTCCATAGCACCAGCCTTTCCCACTGCTGCTGGAACTTTTCAGCTCATCACTGCGATAAGGCTAAGGATGGTGCCACCCTGCCCACAGAGGAACCTGCTCTGAGACACCCACTTGTCCGTCAGTGGCCTTTTGTCTTTATTTATAGGTGCCCAACTGGGGTCAAGTGAGAGAAGTTCGCTAAAAAAGTCTGATCTTCGGCTTAGTGAGGGTTAATCACTGGCTCTTTCTTATTTTAACTCTATATTACCCCCCAGGAATTATTACTTATACATGGATAAATACAGACAAATGTAGAAGCAAACAACTATGGGGTTGTTTGCATGATTTAACATGTTTCTTCTCATCATGCCACCTCTGTCGGCCCAAGTATTTAACAGACAATTTAATAATTACCAGTTAACCGTTCTTTTTCCCCTGGCATGTCAACAGCGCACTTCCTCCTTTAAGAACAAATTACATCTGGGAAAAATGAATTCCAAACATGCTGGTAGTTTAATAGTTTGGTCAAACAAACACAAAATGAAATGAGCACTCTTTCGAGCTGTCAGATTTAGTAAGTCTTTGTGTAAGCCTTACTAAATGTAAAGCAGAAATTTTAAGTTCTCGTTCCAAACCTTAAAATGTTTTAGCAGAACTCACAATGCGTCCGTCGCCACTACCGATGTCTACAAGGGATCCTCTTCTGCATTGCAACATTTTCACAACATTTTCAATCTGCTTCGTAGTTGCAGGTACAAATGGCAAACAGACTTTTCGAAGGGCTGGCGTTATAAACGGTGTGGCTACAGCATACACAGCCACCAGGGTCCCACCCACAAGCCCAGTAAGAAAGAACCCCCAGTTGCTTTTCTGCAAACTCTTGGCTTCAAAACTTGCAGGTAGAACATGTCTTGACTGACTTTCTTCTGTAAGTGTTTCTAGGGGTATACCTAGAATGAAAGCAAGCAGAAAAGGCACACATAGCACCGAATCTGAAATCCAAGAAAGTATTTTTTCCTACAATTCTCATTGACAAATAAACTCATGCTTTTTAAAGGATAATTCAGCTGAATACAAGCTAAATGCCAAGTGTAGGATCCCATAATAAATCCTATTAAGATATTTTGGAGAACATTATTCAATACCACGAGAAGACTAAAATCTTTTCTTTCCAACATGTTGATTTTTTTGTGTGTCTAGGAGTCATCCTTAGAAAACAATGTACTCAAACTTATTGAGCAATTTATTAATTTAATATCCATTAGTACAAGTTTTAATCATGTACTACATATTTTTATGTTCTGAGCTAACATATGTTTATTTGTTCATTGTTGTCTTATTTTTAAAACAAACATAAAGATGTCTAATTATTACCCAATTTCAAGTAGAATTAAAGGATTCCACATCAAATTTGGTCTGGCATCTACAATCCGGTTTCACCAACACAATTTCAAAGCAATAGAAGAGACAAAAATCAGGTTTTACCAAATATCTCAAATAAGTATGGTAATAAAGAGACTTTTACGACAGATCCAAAAAGAATAAAAAATAAGATCATTTTAGTACTATCACAAACACAAAATAATGCAGACCCCGATCACTGATTACAAAGAAATGAATGGTACCTTAAATATCCTCTTGAGATTTGTCCTTTAAAATGCATTTAAATGAGATCTCAGGGTTTTGAAATTAATATTGACTTGAAATTGATTTTAAAATTGATTAATGAGGAGCACAGTACAGGAGGTAAAAACAGGACTCCTCCAGAGCCAGCCAAAGTTAGGATCCCAGCTCTGCCACCTCATTAATGAGGGGACCCTGAATCCCTTGTCCTTGCTGAACCTGTTTTCTCATCTGTAAAGTGGGGGTCACAGGGATATTGTGAGGATGAAATGAGTGGATGGAGGTAAAGCACTTAGAACAGAGTTGAATGCAATTATAGGTTTCCTATAACTGCTGTAAGAAGTTGCCACAAAATTAATGGCTTAAAATAACACCATTTATGGCCAGGCGCAGTGGCTCACGCCTGTAATCCCAGCACTCTGGGAGGCCAAGGCGGGACTCCCAAAATACAAAATTAGCCAGGCGTGGTGGTGCACGCCTGTAATCCCAGATACTTGGGAAGCTGAGGCAGGAGAATCACTTGAGCCCGGGAGGCAGAGGTTGCAGTGAGCCAAGATCGCACCATTGCACTACAGCCTGGGCAACAAGAGTGAAACTCCATCTCAAAAAAAAAAAAAGAAAATCACCATTTGTTATCATACAGTTCTGGAGGTCAGTCTGAAATGAACTGGCAGGCCTGCGTTCCTTCTTGGGGCCCTCAGGCAGGTTTTCTTGTCTCTTCCTGCTTCCAGAGGCTGCCCACATTCCTAGGCTCTGGATCCCACATCACTCCAATCTCTGCTTCCGTCCTGACATCACCTTCTCTCACATGCCTGGCTCCCTCTTAATTTATAGGAACCCTCGTGACAACACTGGGCCCACATAAATAATCCAAAATAATCTCCCATCTCAAGCCCATTGATTACATCTGTACAGGTGCAGGAATTAGAATGTGGACATTCCTGGAGAGGACATTTTTCTTCCCACCACATCCATGAACTATGGCAATCTATTCCGGTGCAGTACAAATTTGAACCCAAGACACACAGAAAGCTGGCAAACAGCAGCGGGTCACCCTCAGGGCAGCCAGCCAATCACCAGTATCCCCCACTCAGCGCGGCTTTGTTCTTGATTCCTGAAGACCCTTAACATGAGTTGTAGAACTGATTTCATAGTGGAAAACCAACTGGGTCGGGGGAGAGGGCAGTGGGAGGAAGAATGCTACTAGTACTAGTGCTAGTGCTAATGCTAGTGACGGTGGTAAAGAAAATTGACTTTAAGAAGGTGATGGCATTTGATAGAAAGCAAAAGCTTTAAATAATTTCAGTTATAATTTTGGCATTTTACGGAGGAACTTACAGGCATACCTTGGAGATACTTAGTTCCAGACCACTACAATAAAGTGGACATTGCAATAAAGCAAGTTACACAAATATTTTTGGTTTCCCACTGTATATAAAAGTTATGTTTACGCTATACTGGAGTCTATTAAGGGTGCAATAGCACTGTTCAAAAACCAATGTATGTAACTTAATTTTAAAATCCTTTATTGCTTGACATTTTGGTCTGGTTTATCTTCAAAAAAATTGTTTAATTTTTAAAAAATAGTTTATTGCTAAGAAATTCTAATGATCATCTGAGCCTTCAGCAAGTAAAAATCTTTTCATGGGCGTAGGATCCGGCCTTGACGTTAACAGTTGCTCACTGATGAGGGTGGTGGTTGCCGAAGGTTGGGGTGGTTGCGGCAATTTTTAAAAATAAGACAACAATGAAGTTTGCTGCATTGATAGACTCTTTCCTTCACGAAAGATTGCTCTGTGGCATGTGATGCTGTTTGACAGCATTTTACCCACAGCAGAACTTCCTTCAAATTTAGAGTCAATTTTCTCAAACTCTGCCACTACTTTACCAACTAAGTTCATAAAATATTCTAAATTCTTTGTCATCGTTTCAACAATGTTTACAGCATCCTCACCAGTAGTAGATTCCATCTCAAGAAACAACTTCCCTTGCTCATCCATCAAAAGTGACTCCTCATCACTGCTATTTTATCATGGGGTTGCAGCAATTCAGTCTCATTTTCAGGCTCCACTTCTAATTCTCTTGCTATTTCGACCACATCTGTAGTTACTTCCTCCACTTAAGTCTCAAAGTCATCCAAAAGGACTGAAATCAACTTCTTCCAATCTCTTATTAATGTTGATACTTTGACCTCCTCGCATGGATCATGAATGTTATTAATGGCATCTACAATGGTGAATCCTTTCCTGAAGGTTCTGAATCGACTTTGACCAGATCCATCAGTGTGATCACTATCTATGGCGCCTCTAGCCTTATGAAATGTATTTCTTAAATACAAGACTTAAAAGTCAAAATTACCCCCTTGATCCTCGGGCTACAAAATGAATGCTGTGTTGACAGGCATGAAAACAACATTCGTGTCCTTGTATACGGCCACCAGAGCTCTTGAGTAGTAACTAGGTGTGGTATCAATGAGCAGTAATATTTTGAAAGGAATCCTTTTTCTGATCAGTAGGTTTCAACAGTGGGCTTAAAATAGTCAAAAATCATGCTGTAAAAAAAGGTGCTGTCATCCAGGCTTTGTTGTTCCATTTACAGAGCAAGGCAGAGTAGATCTGGCATCATTCCTAAGAGCTCTATGATTTTCTTTTTTTTCTTTTCTTTTTTTTCTTTTGAGACGGAGTCTCGCTCTGTCGCCCAGGCTGGAGTGCAGTGGCCGGATCTCAGCTCACTGCAAGCTCCGCCTCCCGGGTTCCCGCCATTCTCCTGCCTCAGCCTCCCGAGTAGCTGGGACTAGAGGCGCCTGCTACCTCGCCCGGCTAGTGTTTTTTTTTTTGTATTTTTTAGTAGAGACGGGGTTTCACCGTGTTAGCCAGGATGGTCTTGATCTCCTGACCTCGTGATCCGCCCATCTTGGCCTCCCAAAGTGCTGGGATTACAGGCTTGAGCCACCGCGCCCAGCCAAGAGCTCTATGATTTTCAGAACGGCCAGTGGGCATTGGCTTCAACTTAAGATCACCAGCTGCATTCACCCCTAACAAGAGAGTCAGCTTATTCTTTGAAGCTTTGAAACCAGGCATTGATTTCTCTCTAGCTTCCAACAGAAGGTTGTTTCATCCATACCGAAAATCTGTTGGCCAGGTGCGGTGGCTGAGGCCTGTAATCTCAACACTTTGGGAGGCTGAGGCGGGCGGATCACAAGGTCAGGAGCTCAAGACCAGCCTGACCAACATGGTGAAACCCCGTCTCTGCTAAAAATACAAAAATTAGCCGGGCGTGGTGGCACACGCCTGTAATCCCAGCTACTCAGGAGGCTGAGGCAGGAGAATCATTTGAACCTGGGAGGCAGAGGTTGCAGTGAGCCAACATCAGGCCACTGCACTCCAGCCTGGGTGACAGAGCGAGACTCCGTCTCAAAAGAAAAAAAAGAAAAGAAAAAAAAGAAAATCTGTTTAGTGCAGCAACCGTCATTAACAATCTTAGCTAGATCTTCTGGATAACCCGCTGCGGCTTCTCCATCAGCACTTGCTGCTTCACCTCGCATTTTTATGCTCAGGAGATGGCTGCTCTTTCCTTAAACCTAATGAACCTACCGCTGCTAGCTTCAAACTTTTCTTCTGCACCTTCCTCACTTCTCTCAGCTTTCAGAGAACTGAAGAGAGTTAGGGCCTTGCTCTAGATTAGGCTTTGGCTTAAGGATATGCTGTGGCTAGTTTGATTTTCTATCCAGACCACTCAAACTTTCTCCATATCAGCAATAAAGCTTTTTCACTTTCCTATCATTTGCGTGTTCACTGGAGTAGCACTTTTAATCTCCCTCAAGAACTTTTTCGTTGCATTCACAACTTGGCTATTTGATGCCAGAGGCTTAATTTTCAGTCTATTTCAGTTTTCCACTGCCTTCTTCACTAAGCCTAATAATTTCTAGCTTTTGATTTAAAGTGGGAGAAGTGTGATTCATTCACTTGAACACTTGGAGCCCACTGTAGGGTTATTAATCAGCCTAATTCAATGTTGCTGTGTCTCAGGAAATAGGAGGGCCCAAGGAGATGGAGAGAGATGGAGGAATGGCCGGTGCAGCAGTAGGAACACACACACATTTATCGATTAAGTTCACTCTTATTTGGGCATGGTCTGTGGAGCCCCAAAACATTTACAATAGAAACACCAAAAATCCCTGATCATGGATCACCATAATAGATAAAAAATAGCGGAAAATTTGAAATATTGCAAGAATTACCAAAATGTAAGAGACAAAAAGTGAGCACGATGCTGTTGAAAAAATGGTGCCAACAGACTTGTAGAGCTGCATAAACCTTCCATTTGT